TTTCAGAATTGAAATTCTCCCACAAGTCAGACGTATGGAGTTTCGGCATTGTTCTGCACGAGCTCTTCTCTTACTGCGACATCAGTCGAAACCCCAAAAAAGTGAGTAAATGAAGCTCCATAATAATAGTGCTACTACTGTACGAGTACAGTGGCAGTAAATGAATGACTGTCACCTTGAGAAACGACCAAAAATAAAGATTCTGTCATCGTTGACTCAATTTATGTTGTTCCAAAACTTTTTAATTTGTTAAACCTGCTTTATTGTAAATCTTTGATGCAGTTGTGTATCCAGAAGATAGGAAGTTATGTCCAGAGTCAATCCATGGCTATCCATCTTCTTAATCTTCTCAAGGATAACTGGAGGTTACCGGCTCCATCTCAGTGTCCACCAAAGGTGAAAATAAAAACAGATTTCTATTTGAATGCTTTTGTATAGATCACATTAACCAATTGAATTGAGTTCCATTGTACATAGAAAGCAAGTTCATGCACCAAGCATGTTACCTAAAGTACCACACAAATATTAGGTAATTGTAAAAATGTACTGATATAAGGTTTTTTTTTTTCAGGTGCACAGTATTATGATGCAGTGCTGGGAGTTCAACAGCGAGGACAGACCAAGCTTCTCCTCTCTACAGGACCTGAATCTGTTAGATCTGTTAGATGAGAGAGAGGGCTGTAAGGGGTCAAATCAGAGTTACCCTTAACAGATCACTACATATATGTCATATATGTATATTTGATATATATTTGAGTATTTTTGGACATATTACAGTAGCTTTTTCAGTGTTTTGCTTCCTTTCAAAACATAACCGTAGTTGCAGTAGATCAGCTTGTATATTTGCCCATACATTTACAGAGCTAGCACTACCTGTTTAACCATATTCCTTAATAAAATGCATAGGACCTCATCTGTTTGACTCGCAAATATATAGTCAAAATTACTAGTGCACCACCTTTGTTTTGTTTTCTTTTTGTTCTGTTCTGGGGGGGGGTTAAAGGTGTTAAAGAATTGTGTTATAATAACCCCTACAAATACAACTCATTATATACACTATAAACACTTTAAAGAAGACAGACATGTAGATGTTTGTGAAAGATGTTTTTTCTGTTTTGGAGGGATGATTATTTTTAAATCATACCCTATTTATTGCATCAAAATTTGTTAATACTTTACTATATTTAAGGGTGGATAATTTTATCAGTTGTTTATTGCACAATACATAACTACAATAACTTTGTCTAGTGCTCTTATGAAAGTTTATAGCATGATTTGTGAAAATTTTACTATACTGAATGACATGGCATAGACTTCTTCATGGCTAGTTTTTGCGTATTTCATTTAATTCTGTAACCTACTTGTTCTATAGATCTGTGTGTACTAGTATTAAATGCTACTGTTTTCGACAGCGTTGATAACGTTTATGATAATATCATGATAATTTTTGCGTTTCCCTTACCGAATGTCGTATCCTGTCAGCAAAAACCTGCCCATGGGTTTTTTTGATTGCTTTCAGTTTAAGTGACGGCGATGCAGTGTTGCTAGATATTGATACTAAAACAAACAAAAACAAAAAAAATTTAAAAAATAAACCGAAATTATTTCCAATCTTTTGCAAATAAGATAAGATAAAGATATCGCTGACTCTAAACTGCAACTTCCTACTTTATTAACTTTCTAAAGTGTTAAATTAAGTGGAAAAGACAAGTCCAAAAACCTTTATAATAGCTGGATCTGGCAACACGGAGGCTGCGCCCGCGCCCTCACTCACAACAGCTCTCTCAAGCCTCGTTCACTCCGTCAGCGTCTCGCAGCGATCATTTGCATAACAGGGACGCTAAACATTCTTCCAAACTGTCTAAACTGAATTATACATGTCATGCAGGCATTCATATGAGGAGTTTAACAGCAAGTTGGTCATTCAAATAACAAATTGTATTTTTGAACATGAAAAATTTGCGGAGGTCCGGATCTCGGTGGCCTCATTACGGGCTTGACTGCCATTATAAAGCTTGGAAAGATCCAGGACATTTTTTAAAGGGGTCATATGATGCGATTTCAACCTCGTTTATAATGGGTTTTAATGTTTTTGTCTCGTCGCTCCGGCCCGGACACGGCATCACAATATGGTAAGGGAGATAACATTTCCATCACACGCTTGAGGTATTCGGCCAATCACAACGCACTGGATAGCTGGCCAATCAGAGCACACCTCGCTTTTTCAGACCGATGAGCTTTGTAAAAATCGACGCGTTTCAGAAAGGCGGGGCATAGAGGAGAAACAATAATGTACAGTATGTGGAAAATAATGTGTTTTTTGAACCTTAAACCGCATAAACACAATTCATTACACCAAATACACAAAATAATGTTCTTTTTAGCAACATCATATGACCCCTTTAAAGTGAACGTGACGTGAGGCCAAGTACTCAGAATTTGTGCTCTGCATTTAACCCATTCAAGTACACACAAACACACAGAGCAGTGGGCAGTCATTTTTGCTGCGGTGCCTAGGGAGCAGTTGGGGGATTTCTCAAGGGTCTCACCTCAGTTGTGGTATTGAAGGCGGAAGAGAGCGCTGGTCATTGCGCTGGTCATTCACTCCCCCCACCTACAATCCCTGCCGGTACTGAGACTCGAACCCATGACCTTTGGGTTACAAGTCCGATTCTCTAACCAAATAACTCCGTTTGTATTTGTCTGAAAGAAGAAAGTCATATACATCTAGGATGGCTTGAGGGTGAGCAAATCATGGGGTAATTTTCATTTTTTGGGTGAACTATTCCTTCAAGCTTGCCATAAATCTCATGAATCTGGTTTATGATGAGACAAACTACTTTCTCCACCATTCTCTGTGCCAGCTCAAGAACCTACATGATACATAGTCACACAAGTAATGTCAAGTGAACTTCTACAGATATGATATCCCCGTTTGAGTGGCAGCTGTGAATAATGTGACCGATTGTAAATCAAAAAGCTGCCACTGCAGTGTGGGCTACGGTATTTCAACAGAACACGAACATTAGGTAATGTGACCGATTGTAAATCAAAAAGCTGCCACTGCAGTGTGGGCTACGGTATTATTTCAACAGAACACGAACATTAGATGGCGCGATTGCGCCTACCCGTTGCACAAAAGAAGAAGAAGTTGTTCTCCAAGTAGATATAACCATAGACATAATAAATACTGAATTGTTCAAAATATGAATTACGGAGGATGGATATGATAAATGACATGTAAAAAATAGGACTAACAGGACGGAATATAATGAACTGCAGTAGGAGTGAACAAGGAATGAAATGTTTGAGTTGCTTTCTGACTAAAACGGGACTCATGACAAGAATATGATGACTAAAGTACAGTATATGGGAAATAACTAGAACCAGAAGATGGCAGTAATGCAACGTTAAGGATGCAAGCTGCTGTTAAACCCCAAAGAAGAAGAAGTTGTTTTCAGTGTTTGCTTTCAGTTTTCAATCATGACAAGTCCATCACAATGATGCAGACACATCAGCGTTTGTGGATCATATTACCATGTTTTATTGCATTATTGGCCGTGACCATTACATGTGGTGAGTGTGTAGAACAAGTTCTTTGATTCCAAAATACGCAGATATTATTTTATTATTGGTTGCTTTGTGCGTAACAAACAAATGTATCATCATGGTATCATTTCAAGTGCCTTGAAGTAGGCAACCAAATAGCACAGTATGTCAACGTATTACCATCAGAAGTGCACAGTACTTCCTGGTGAGGAGCATAGACTGTAAAAAAAGAGGAGCTATCAAGTTATTCGAGCTGCCAGCGTAAATCTGGCTTTTTTTTTTGACTACATCTAAATTGTATAAATGATTATATATTGTTTACATTTTAATTATAAAATCATTGAGTATATTTACACATTTTTAAAGTTGAGTACGTTTTTACATTTTTAAATGGAAGAAGATGAGGCCCAATATTTGATCCGTTGTTAAATGTGTTATTGGCGCCCACTACCGTTCAACCGCTGTCAATGCTGTTGTGTTTTGTGTAACAGCTCCTGCGGCCTCGCTTTTGCTCCTGTGTCTCTGCTGTATGGCTCTTCTATGGAAGATAAAGATCAAGAATCGCTCCATATCGAGTCTTTTGGCTCAGTATGTGGCTGTGAAAGCAGTGGGCTGGCTGGGGAGTCGCCAGAGAAACAGACTAGAGTCAGACACACGGGACATTCATCGCGTTCAGGAGGAAACTCTGCTCCAGCGTCTGCAGAAACACCCCGACACCGTTTACGGCAAGAACTACGAGTTCAGATCAATTAAAGGTGATTGATTTTAACGATTTTATATATATATATATATATATTGTGTATATATATATATATATATATAAAAAAATTTTCATACATTTATGGTAAAAAATAAAATAAAAAAGACAATGACAATGTTTCAAATATTACAGGACTGCACATTGGTACTTCTAACTAAATCTGTTTTGTTTTCTGAAATAAAAATTCACATGAAATAAATAAAAAGACACATTATGCCACATTATGAATCAGAGTTTATCAAAAGTCATTCTCAACCAATAATAAATGGTGCACATGGTCATACACAAAAGACAAAACACCATTAGGGTAAAACACGTCTAAAATATATCAATAAACATTAACTAAATAACAGAAAATGCAACACAAACCCCCTAATGATTAACAGAAATGAGAATAAACAATTTCCACTTCTGTGAAAGTACTTTTACTGTTTTTCACAGTAAATTGTATGGTAATTTATAGTTTTTACGTTCAAGCACCATAGATGTGTCAGTTAATTTACATATAATACTAAACCATTTGTAGTTTTCCAATGTACCTTACAGGTAACCAATTAACGGGTTTTACTGTAACATTTTTAGTCTTTTTTTTTCTGAGAAAATTACAAACATTTTACAGTGTCACAGCTGCCAATGCATGTGTATTCACTACACACCACACCTTTTTTCTTGATATTGTTATTCACTTTTAGTTATATTTATCCTTACTTACACAATATAACAGATATTTGATATGTTCTCTCTGTGTCTTGTGTTTGTGGCATAGTGCAGGCTACGTTTCACACATTTTACTCCAGTGTAGGGTCTGGTGTGTTTCAGACAGACATACAAACTGCACCAGGATTCGAACTGAGAACCACTGATATAAAGTTATCACAATGTTAAACCTGCCATTAAACATTATAAGCATGCAAATGCATGCAGTGACATCTTGGCCCACTGACAAGTTAGCAAACACTTTTTGGTGGTTTCGGTACTGAGAATCTCTTGGTCATGATGGAGGGGGAACAAGCACGGTCAACTGTGACATAATCATGTGCATACAAATCTCTCATTGTGATCTGACCACACTTCCAAAGGAGTGTTCTGCTTTTCATAAATGTTCACTGAACGCAAAAAAAAAAAGCCACCTGTGTAAATGTTCAAATACTGAAGATTGTGTAGGAGGATGTGATACTGTCGAAATGACTTGGAACTGAGTTCCTGTCATGCAACTTTGAAGTCAAACTGTTCTCATTCACGTGTAAGAGAGTGTCTTTTTTCATAGGTTTCGTACATAATAAATACTGAATTGTTCAAAATATGAATTACGGAGGATGGATATGATAAATGACATGTAAAAAATAGGACTAACAGGACGGAATATAATGAACTGCAGTAGGAGTGAACAAGGAATGAAATGTTTGAGTTGCTTTCTGACTAAAACGGGACTCATGACAAGAATATGATGACTAAAGTACAGTATATGGGAAATAACTAGAACCAGAAGATGGCAGTAATGCAACGTTAAGGATGCAAGCTGCTGTTAAACCCCAAAGAAGAAGAAGTTGTTTTCAGTGTTTGCTTTCAGTTTTCAATCATGACAAGTCCATCACAATGATGCAGACACATCAGCGTTTGTGGATCATATTACCATGTTTTATTGCATTATTGGCCGTGACCATTACATGTGGTGAGTGTGTAGAACAAGTTCTTTGATTCCAAAATACGCAGATATTATTTTATTATTGGTTGCTTTGTGCGTAACAAACAAATGTATCATCATGGTATCATTTCAAGTGCCTTGAAGTAGGCAACCAAATAGCACAGTATGTCAACGTATTACCATCAGAAGTGCACAGTACTTCCTGGTGAGGAGCATAGACTGTAAAAAAAGAGGAGCTGTCAAGCTATCAAGTTATTCGAGCTGCCAGCGTAAATCTGGCTTTTTTTTTTGACTACATCTAAATTGTATAAATGATTATATATTGTTTACATTTTAATTATAAAATCATTGAGTATATTTACACATTTTTAAAGTTGAGTACGTTTTTACATTTTTAAATGGAAGAAGATGAGGCCCAATATTTGATCCGTTGTTAAATGTGTTATTGGCGCCCACTACCGTTCAACCGCTGTCAATGCTGTTGTGTTTTGTGTAACAGCTCCTGCGGCCTCGCTTTTGCTCCTGTGTCTCTGCTGTATGGCTCTTCTATGGAAGATAAAGATCAAGAATCGCTCCATATCGAGTCTTTTGGCTCAGTATGTGGCTGTGAAAGCAGTGGGCTGGCTGGGGAGTCGCCAGAGAAACAGACTAGAGTCAGACACACGGGACATTCATCGCGTTCAGGAGGAAACTCTGCTCCAGCGTCTGCAGAAACACCCCGACACCGTTTACGGCAAGAACTACGAGTTCAGATCAATTAAAGGTGATTGATTTTAACGATTTTATATATATATATAATATTTGCGTATACCCTCGGTATACCCACTTGTTTTGTTGCTTCGCAAGTCCGTAATCTACTGTCATGTAGCTTCCCCTTTAATGGTGTCCCATACTGCTGTGTGAAATTCGTGATTCTTTGTAATTGGTGCAATATCACTTCTGTCATTCAACGCCGCTCATTGTCGCTCGCGCTTGGTGTTTTGAGCCGCACTGAGCGCAGTTCTCGTGCTGCAACAGTGGATACACGCCGTAAGGAAATATGGTGACAGGTACAAGAAAAAAACACACATATACGCAAGGGATGGACAGAGATATTGGGGAAAATGAAGAAACGGAAAATGGATGTGAAGGTGCAGTTCAAGAACCTTAAATTATTTTGCACGGCTCCAGCCTAAGGGTTTAGACCTTTGTGATGGCCATACAAATAATAGAGTTGTCTGTGGTTTCAGAATTTGTTGTGGGTGTATAGGATGGCCTGGATGAGTATGAGATTTCCCAGCCTGAAATTGTGTCCCAGTCCGGCCCTGCCCTAGTTCAGGTCTGGTTTTAAGGGGATGATAGTGAAAGCAAAAGCTAAAGAAAGCAAGAGCACCCGCAGCTGAAGCTGTAATAAACAGATTTGGCAAACTATCTAGTGCACATTTGTGTTTGCGCTCCGGATATATATAAATAGAAAAAACTAAAATATTACGTTGACAGCTTATTTATTAATTTAAATAAGTTAATAATTTATGCGTTTAATAAATGTTTGAAGGGTCTGACAGCAAGCCACTGATATGTAGGATATAGTTATTTTTTTAATTGAACATATAATAGAATCATATGTTTGACAGTAGTATACAGAAAATTCAGTGTTGTTTGCAGTACATTTACATTTTACTTCTTTGCTTCTATGGAATGGAAATAACCAGTGAGATGTGCTACCATCTTGTCATAAAATGTATGACGTAGTTTTTATTGTATCATTTCAGACACCGAAACATTTCAACAGCACCATCCAGTCACGGATTACAATCATTATGAAAAGTTTGTGGAGCGTGTGGCTAAAGGAGAGCAGAATGTTTTAATATCGGAAAAGCCTCTTATTCTGGCTATGACGTCAGGAACGTCTGGATCCAGCCGTATGCTTTTGAGCACCAAAGACACCAACACAGAATTCTTCCTACAGGTCACAACACATGCACATTCTTACAAGTACAAAATTATGTCTGCATTACTAGTGGCACCAAACAATAAATGGCAAAAGTAATGGCACTTTTCAAACTTGGGTAAAGATATGGAGAAAGTACAATGGGTATATCACCCCCCTTTCAAATAATCACATTTTGTTGCTTTGCAGCCTGAAATGAAGACAGACACAGAGCCTAAGGGTTTAGACCTTTGTGATGGCCATACAAATAATAGGGTTGTTTGTGGTTTCAGAATTTGTTGTGGGTGTATAGGATGGCCTGGATGAGTGTGAGATTTCCCAGCCTGAAATTGTGTCCCAGTCCGGCCCTGCTCTTAGTTCAGGCCTGGTTTCAAGGGGATGATAGTGAAAGCAAGAGCTAAAGAAAGCAAGAGCACCCGCAGCTGAAGCTGTAATAAACAGATTTGGCAAACTATCTAGTGCACATTTGTGTTTGCGCTCCGGAGAGCATAACAGGTTTCCATTTACATTTTTACAGCGTTCAGCAATGTAGCCAATCACATACATACCTGTTGATTTATTGAATGCAATGACCAATCAGAGGCATTAAAGTTAGAACCCATTCAACACTTAAAACGCTGGTGTTTTTGTCCAGTGCTCAGTTCTGCAAGCTCGAGAACCATCTTATTATGACGATGTAAATAAAAGATTAATTGTGCAGTACTGAGAGATTCATTGATTATAACAGAACTTTGTGAGATCGCAATCAGCTGAAAATTTACGAACATACAAATAAATGTAATATATTATTTCAGGGACTGTAAGCATGGAAAACTTGATTAGCATTTTCTGAAGGAAATACAGTGGGTATAGAAAAGAATCACCCCCCTTTCAAATAATCACATTTTGTTGCTTTGCAGCCTGAAATGAAGACAGACACAGTTTTTGTTTTATTTACTCAGTGCAACTGAGTGCTACAAAGCACTGCATTCACGTGCTATTGGAAATGTCCTATTTCCCACTTATGAAGTCGTGATTACGAGCGTCGCATTCAAGTGCTTTAATGTCGGAAAGAATTAAATGTAGCATCCCATTGGTTGACTATCATAAACATTCACCGCGCTATGTAGGCTATATGTAATTTATGTTATCCATATTGGCCTATTTGTATAAAACTTTTGTTTTTCACGCTACAGGCTGGAAAATCCTCTTGCAGGAGATGATTCCCTTCCTAAATTATAACATTAGCTATATGTTTTACATGTATAAAGACCCACTTATGCTGTGTGAGAAAAATGTTAGGCATCATATTATAAGTATAAATATAAATTATTTGTAATTAAATTATTGTCTTTTAAATTTCCACTGTGCTAAACCCAAAGCAAATTGAAGAAAATATTATCTGGAAATATTTATTTCATAAATTCATATCAAGTTATTTTTTTCTACCCAGTTGCATAAAATAAAACATTAAATTCAGATTTATCTGTAAAACATTTTTCACAATGAATACAATTCCAAAGCAACTTGAAATTATATATAGAACTGTAATGTGGTCAATTAAATTATTGTCTTTTAAATTTCCACTGTGCTAAAGCCAAAGCAAATTTAAGAAAATATTATCTGGAAATATTTATTTCATGAATTCATATCAAGTTATTTTTTTCTACCCAGTTGCATAAAATAAAACATTAAATTCAGATTTATCTGTAAAACATTTTTCACAATGAATACAATTCCAAAGCAACTTGAAATTATATATAAAACTGTAATGTGGTCAACAGACCTGGAAACCTGGAAATCATGCCATCCTTTAATTTCTGAAAATAATTCTGAAAATTTGCTCTGCGATGGACTGGACATCTGTCCAAGGTGACACTTTGCTTCTGTGTCTGCACAACCCTGTATCCACATTTTGTTATTTTTGCAGTCTTTTCCTAAAAGGCTTTAGTTGTATGTACAGTATACACACACACACACACACACAGCAATGGTTGTCCCCTCCACCATGTTTAAAGATTATGACCCGCCCAACTCGGAAACTCTGGTATCAAAATTATTTCTGAATTTCCCAGTAGTAAATACGACTTGAGAGGCATTCACGTCTAATTTCCGATTAGGAAACTCGTATTTACAATAATTCCGATAGCACGTGAAGGCAGCATTATTACATCCAAGTGAAGGATGTAACACCAACATGTCAGAAAAAAATAAAAAACTAGAATCACTGAGTTGGAAAAAGAATCACCCCCTCCTAAAAATGACTTGTAAACTCAATCAGGTGTAGCTAATCACCTTCTCAATGGCATACAAAGCCAGACTTTCAACTGATCAGCTGTGATCGTTTTGATTAGCTCAGCATGAAAAGAGCTTTCCTGGATCATTTCAGTCCATGGTAGTGCAACTGAAGCAAACACTCAACTATGGGCACCCATCAAAAGATCACCCGGATAAAGCTGTGGACAGGCGCAAATCAGGAGATGGATACAAAAAAAATATTTATTATTAAGAAATTGAAGGTAATTTTTTCAACACAGACCCTCCCTGGATCAGGACGTTGCTCCAAACAGGATGAAAGAGCCAGGAGGAAACTGGTCAGAGAGGTTCCCAAGAGACCTACAGCAACTATGAAACAGTTGCAGGAATTTATGACAAAGAGTGGTCAATGTGTGCATGTGATGACAATATCACAAATGTGGCTTGTATGGGAGGGTTGCAAAAAAAAAGCCACTCCTCAAGAAAGGCCACATGCAGTCACGACTGAGCTTTGCCAAAACGCACCTTGAAGATTCTGAGGCAGATGAGAATAAAATTGAATTATTTGGCCTCAACACCAAAGGATATATCCAATACAGCTCACCATCCAAATAACACCATTCCTACAGTAAAGCATGGGTGTGTTTCTCTGCAGCAGCAGGGACTGGGCACTTGTCAGGATAGAAGGAAAAATGGATGGAGCAAATTCTGCTGCCCTCTGCCAGAAAGTTGTCAATGGGAAGACGGTTTACCTTCCAACATGACAATGACCCAAAGCACACAGAAAAACTGAGGACACAGTGATTAAAGGAGAAAAAGGTGAATGTCCTTGCATGGCCTTTTCAGACTAAAGGCTGTAATTAAAGCAAAATGTGGTTAAAAAAAAAAAAAAAAATTCTGACATGTTGGTGTTATATTGTTCACTTCGATGTTATAAGTTGCACTGAGTAAATACAGCTGGGTAAAACAAAAACTGTCCGTCTTCATTTCAAGCTGCAAAGCAGCAAAATGTGATTATTTTAAAGAGGGTGGTTCTTTTCTATACCCACTGTACAATGTCAGATTCCTTAATACATGTTTACAAGTAATAGGCCAATAAAAACCAACTAGCAACAAGCGAGTTGAATATCAAGCTAATTTACCACATTTTGTGATCAATGAAAGTAATATAATCATCAAACTTCCAATCTAGCAGACAGCACTGAATATGTACTCCCAACAGCCTGTCAAGTTTTTGTTTGTTTTCCAAAGAGCTCGAGAGGAAGCTGTCTATTATTTCTGTGCACTTTTCTGGCAGGGGGTGACAATTTGTCTAGATGCCATGATGCAAGCCTTTCCAGCCACTGACTGTCTCCAGAAAACCCTGAAGCTCTTTTACTCGCCCATTTTTCGTCAGAGTGAGGCAGGTATTCCTATTGGCCCCAACTCCTCAACTCCTGCCTCCTCTAAACACATGCTGCATCTTTACACCACGCCAGCACCCGTCTATCAGGTTGGTGGGAGATGAATAGAAATTTAACATGATATTTAATGACAATAATAGCCAGAGGTGTAATGAGTAAAAGTACAGATACATTACAAGTTACAAGTCACCAATTCCAAAACAACTTGAGTAAAAGCCTTACCCCCCGATTCAGAGACAAGGCTTAAGCTAGTCCCAGACTAAAATGCATGTTTGAGCTGTCTCAACTGAAAATATCTTGCTCTGACATGTCTTAAAATATGTCAGTGTCATTGTTCTGTCAAGATGCACACCTGTAATGTTTTCTTCCAAGGCATGTTTGTAAAAGTTGCTTAAATATCTTAATTTAACTAAGGCCTAGTCCTGGCTTAAGCTAAGAAACTTGTAGTGTTTAGTGAAGTGAAGTAGAGAGTAAAAGTTGTTAATATCCTTGATACTCATTAAAACTACAGAGCTATATGCCATGAGGCAAGCCTTTCCAGCCACTGGCTGTCTCCAGAAAACCCTGAAGCTCTTTTACTTGCCCATTTTTTCGTCAGAGTGAGGCAGGTATTCCTATTGGCCCCAACTCCTCAACTCCTGCCTCCTCTAAACACATGCTGCATCTGTACACCACGCCAGCACCCGTCTATCAGGTTGGTGGGAGATGAATAGAAATTTAACATGATATTTAATGACAATAATAGCCAGAGGTGTAATGAGTAAAAGTACAGATACATTACAAGTTACAAGTCACCAATTCCAAAACAACTTGAGTAAAAGCCTTACCCCCCGATTCAGAGACAAGGCTTAAGCTAGTCCCAGACTAAAATGCATGTGATATTATGATTTTATTAATTTATAAGATACATTTAATTAATCAAAAGTTATTTTGAACTTTCTATCTGAAATAAATAAATAAACACAAAATATTAAAATTTGAAAATCTGCTACATATAATGGAAATTTAAATGCAAAATATTTTTTAAATGTTTTTATAAGTGTTGACATTTTAACTTAGTATATTAATTCAATATACTATGAATAAAATATAAAACAGCAATAAATGGACAAAATACATACATTACTGAATTTGATATCATAATATTATTATGATTTTATAAATTTATGGGATACATTTACCCCCGGTTTCACAGACACGGCTTAAGGCTAGTTGCAGACTAAAATGCATGTTTGAGCTGTCTCAACTGAAAATATCTTGCTCTGACATGTCTTAAAATATGTCAGTGTCATTGTTCTGTCAAGATGCACACCTGTAATGTTTTCTTCCAAGGCATGTTTGTAAAAGTTGCTTAAATATCTTAATTTAACTAAGGCCTAGTCCTGGCTTAAGCTAAGAAACTTGTAGTGTTTAGTGAAGTGAAGTAGAGAGTAAAAGTTGTTAATATCCTTGATACTCATTAAAACTACAGAGCTCCTCTAACAAGAGTCAAAACACATTACAATAAATGTATTCGTGCCAAAAACGGTGCCGTGTACACACGCTCTTAGATTTGGAATCAAACAATTCCCAACTGATTAAAGTGCACATTCCCAGGTTTTTATTAAAGGGTATTGTCATACATTTTATTTTCAACTTGTACAAATGCCAGTACCTTTTAAACAGTCCTCCTCAGCCATTACAGGCTGCCATAATGTCCATCTCTAATCAAACACACCTGCCTGTAACACTCTAGCAAGCCTCAAGGCTTTGGTTAGATTTTTTGGGAATGTTTGATTAGAATTGGAGCTAAACTCTGCATGACAGTGCACCTCCATGACCGAAGTTGACATCCCTGCATTAGGGGGTCTGTTTAACTCAGTGGGTTCTAGAAGGATACGTTTGTCGAGAAGTACTTACAAGAGCAAGCATAGGGTCTGAATACATGTTGGACAGATGACACCAAGATTGTTTTGTATCCAGAGGGGTAAAATATATATATATATATATATATATATATGGATACAGAGTGAATATTTTACTCAGTTTAATGTCCAGGCAAAAACATAAAGCACAATAAAAAAAGCACAGCTTTAAATTGTACTCAATTGTTTAAAAAGTAGGTTTGATCGAGACTGAAAAATTAAATTAATTATGCAATGTGTGTTGTCATTTGTACATGTTAAAACCAAAATATATAAAGATACTGTTTAATATTATCTGAGAATGTGCACTTTAACCACTTGTGAATTGTTTGATTACAAATCTAAAACTCTGGAGATTAGAGGAAAATCAAGAAAAAATGTGTCTTCATCCCATTGATTGAGCACACATACTTACACCTTGATCACAGGTGGGATCAAGCCATTGTTTTGCAAGTCACAGGTAAGTCCCTCATCAAGACAGACAAATCAAAGTGACGTCCTCAACTTGTTTTAGACTTCAAGTCTTAAACAAGTCATTAGTTATCTTTGCCAATATCACTGTCAAGAGTATTTATTATTTTTGTAAATTTATACTAATTTATATCAGGTAGGCTTTTAAAAGATGTTCACTTCTCAGTTCAATTTCATATGAGAATTCAAAACAAAATTAAATTAATTTTAATTAGACAATTAAATGAATTGTTTAGTGGGGAAATGAATCATTGATTTGCTGCACATTTGTATTCATTATATGGGCAATATGGGCAAGATTTTTGAAAGGTATTTTTATAAAACAAGTGCTATTGGTAACTAAACTTAAATGAAAACGTTTCGTTAGCTGGAATAAAAATAAAAACTAACATACTTGAAATTCAAAAACTAAGTAAAGTAAAATATAAATGGCCACAAAATCATTTTGGAAGCCAACTGCAAGAAACATGAAAATGCCACTAGACAGCAATAAGACCATGAAAAGCTTTTCAATAATTCCAGTTGGTTTGTTAATTGTAGAAGCCATAAAATAAAAGAAAGTAAAAGAAAAACTAAATGAACTGAAACTGAATTGAATTATTGAAATGTTATAACTGTAATAACCCTGATGAACGCACTTGTTTCTGCAGTTTTTTTTTATTCAAATGCTGAGACAAAATAAAGTCAATGTCTGCATAATGCAGTATAATGAATGTCAGTCCAACAGAACTGTTTGCTTTTTAATAAGACACTGTCTACTCTCAATGAATCATTGATTTGCTGCGCCGTTTCAAACAGTTTCAAAGTACCAAAACAAAAACGGCATAATGTCATATGATTAAATTGTTCAATTGATTTATAGGCTAAATAATTATGAATTAAAAGAGATTTTAATGGGTCAGAAACCAAATATTCAAAGAAGGGTCAAACATTAAACTTTACTGCAGTAAAACTCACCCCCCTCTCCCAGTGTTAACCACTCCATTGCTATGTAGACCATTTAAAAAAACAAAAACATTTTAGTTACAACTGCATCTGTCTCTGAAAAACATTTAGTAGTGACTGATATAATGTTATTTTCAGAACTTTTATTTCCTTCTTATCTGTAACCTGTTGGACAGCAGATCTTAGAACACTGGAAACAGAATGAAAAATACAGTTTTTGCTCAGAACGAACTGAAATGTAAAAAGATTTGAGTCTTTCCAGGTTGAGTCTCAAGTCCTCTTCTTGATAATGTCTGATTGATTATGCTGTTACTTCAATCCAAGTCAAGTACAAGTCATGAAACTCAAGTCCACAACCCTGCTGTGAATGCACTGGAAGTCAGCTTGGATAAAAGAGCCTACCAACTAAAATAAAAAATTGTTTAACCATAGATCTGATCAGAACACTAATTTATAGAATCTAAAAGACACTGTTGGTTATGTCTCTAGGTGCTGAATGAGAGAGACGCCTTGTATCTCCATCTGCTGTTTGGGCTGAAAGACCGCAATCTTGGCATGCTGGAATCCAACTTCTGCTCTACCGTCTTTTATGCCTTCAGAGCCCTGCAGGTACAGTGAGGTCCAAAAGTCTGAGACCACTATTGAAAATGCTTCTATATTACATTATTTATTGCAAATTAAATAACCATCATTGCATTTTTGAATGATCACCTAGTAGTGCATCTCAATTATTATTATCATCATTTATTTTGTATCATTGTTTATTTTAAGGTTTAAATGTTTGTATAATGCTATCAGGTGAACAGGAATGCTAAATTTGCTTAGTCAATTAGTGACCAAGGCATAATGAAAAATTCATTTTAAATCATAAATGTTTCAAAACTTTTGCTGTTGTAATAGAGGAAAATTGAAGTTTTTCAGTGTAGTTTCAGACTGTTGGGCCCCACTCTGTACATGTTCAAAAAAACACAGCCTTACCATGAATGAATACAGGTTAATGAAGTGCAACAGAATTGGAAAGAAGCGGCATTACACTTGAGATTCTTGTCCCGCTCCCAGATTTGTCTAATCAGTTTTTTTTATAACTGACACTGAATAGATCAGAAAGATCCCGAGTAGCAATCTGTGTATCTGCATTTAGGAATGTTGGAAAGATCTTGTGGTGGATGTGGAAGTGGGCATGATCAACTCCGGTCTGAGCCTGAAGGCTGATGTACGCCATGCTCTAGAGAAACTGATGAAGCCAGATCCGGAGAGAGCCGCTGAGCTCGCAGCCCAGTTTGAGGAAGGCTTTGAGGGGATCGCACTCAGAATATGGCCCCAGTTACACCTGGTTCTGACAGTGGATTCGGGCTCCAACCAGATTTATGGGGAGATGTTACGGCGGCACTACTGTAAAGATATCCCATTCTACTCCCCTTTCTACACTGCCACTGAAGGTGTGTTGTATGTGGATGCATGTGTGTACATTTCTGAACTGGATAGTGGATAGCAATATTTTAAAGTAATAAGCCATGATAGGTCTTTGTGTTATTGTTTTTTCCATGGGCAGGGTTGGAAGGGTTACGTTTCTGATTACAGAATGCTTATTTGTAGCGTATTCCCTAGGATTACTGAAGGTATACTACTGGTCAAAATTTGAAATAATTAAGATTTTTTTTTATGTTTTTGAAAGTCAATACTGGAGTGTGTTTCCCAAAAGCAACTATGGTCGCAAGTTTTGTTGTTACCGATAGAGTTAATTGGAACTTTTGACTATAGTTAGCTAACGATGCTTTTGAGAAACACACCCCAGCACGGTAAATGACAACATGCATGTGTAAAGTTGTAAATGAGCCATATACCGGCATAGAGTACAGTTCACATGGATGCATTCGCTGTATATAATGGTCTGTAATTCATGTTTCAGGCCTGATAGGTGTGAACCTGTGGCCTCAGCAGGAGAGCAGACAATATCTCCTGTGTCCTCGCTCCATGTTCTGTGAGTTTATACCAGAGGAGGATCTGGATTCAGAACGGCCCAAAACTCTCTTGATGGAGCAGCTTCAAGAAGGACATAACTATGAGTTGCTGGTCACCAACGCTTCAGGATTATTCAGGTCAGGTACATGATCCTGCTTCTACACGTTTAAAACAAAAGTTCTGTCATGAAACTCTTGATGGCACAGGCCGAAACATCCTAACTCAGCCTGATTTAATCACATCTGTGACGAGTGGGGCGGGGCCGAGAGCCATGGGAACGGAGCGAAGCCGGTGGAGTTAATGATGATGAGTGACACCTGCGCCACTCACCGGTCTCGAGTCCCACGGAGGAGCTCCAAAAGGATAAAAGGAGGAGTAGCGACAGTGAAGGATGAGAGAGGACCAGGCCTGGATTTTATGTTGTTGTTTTATGCAGCAGTTGCCCGTGAGGGGCTGCTGCTTTTACTTTCGTTATGTGTTTATTTATTTATTCAAGTTTTATGTTTAAATGTTCGCCAGTTCCCGCCTCCTTCTTCCCGATCTACGAACGTTTGTTACAACATCATTATTCACATGGCGCAGCTAATGGTTTTTGTTGCATCAGCAGCCAATGAGCTTGCTGCTCAACATTAAAATACCTGGCCAGTGTTTGCTGTAGCAGTTTGCTGCATGCTTCAGAAACCCTTCACCTTCCCCAGCACCACCTGTGTAGATCTGCTACAGGGTAATTTCACATATGTTATATGTGCAGCAGCAGCATGTCTTACACACTCACCACTAAGATCAAATACATTAACATTGCCATGTACAGTATATTAACATGCTAACCTTTCAGAGAGTTGTCATGACAGAACTGGTTTTTCTTTAAATTGCCTACTTTTGCTGCTATTTTACCATCTGTCTGTGAAGATCTTAATAGTCTTAAATAGAGAAAACTGTTAACTATTAATGGCAAAAACAAAGTAAATGTCACAGTATGTTTATTTGATGTTAACATTTTTGCAGAAGTGAAGTTAAAATATCTGGTTGGACATTCTTTTTCGAATGTGACACTATTAAAGGCGCATGTGAGAGAAAAATGTTTTTAAAAATAGGATTGCACATGTATGTTACACATGCATACTATGCGGATGATGATAGTTACACCATGCACACTGAACACATACCTTAGCACATTGGTTCCCAACCCTGGTCCTGGAGGCACCTCAACACTGCACGTTTTGCATGTCTCCTTAATCAAACACACCTGATTGAGGTCATCAGCTCATTAGTAGAGACTCCAAGACAGGGGTGTCCAAACTCGGTCCTGGAGGGCCACTGTCCTGCAGAGTTTAGCTCCAACCCCAATTAAACCCACCTGCACTAGCTAATCAAGGTCTTAGTAGGCATACTAGAAACTGGCAGGCAGGTGTGTTGAGGCAAGTTGGAGCTAAACTCTGCAGGACAGTGGCCCTCCAGGACCAAGTTTGGACACCCCTGCTCCAAGACTTGAAACTGGTGTGTCAGAGATAAGAGACATGCAAAATATGCACTGTTGGGGTGCCTCCAGGACCAGGGTGGGGAATCACTGCCTTAGCATACACATAAAACAGGAAAGTATACTTTAAGCTTTACTGTTAAACTTACTGTTTGGGCTTAAATGCAATGTTTCAAGCATTTGAGCATGGCTGACCGAATTATGAAATGTTATTAACATGAACAATGCATTGAATAAGGCATTAAGTTACCTGTGAACAGGCAGTGCTGTAATGCTGTTTTTGAGCAGATGATGCCATGAATTGGTGCATTGGATATTTTAAAAATGAAAAAAAAAAAAAAAATGAATTAGAGGAAGTAATTATTTAGGAAATTGGTGAAACAATGTAGTGGACATTCTCTAAAGTCTCTCATCTGTGTTTTTCAGGTATCGCATTGGAGATGTTGTGAAAGTAGTTGGGTTTCATAACCAGTGTCCAAAAGTGGAGTTTCAGTATAGGTACACATTTTTATTATACATTATATAATCAAATGTTTAATACAACTGAGTGTCCTCAGGTGGTACACAGCACAACACTTTTAAGTTACATTTTTTAAATGTTGTAATTACAATTTCTTGTTACATTTTTAATATTTTTATGTGCCTACAAGATATTTGGCAGTGCGAAATGTGAATAGGGATGTGAAGTTTTCTGCAGTAGCTTCATTCTTGTAGCTCAAACAGTAGAGTGTGGGACTAGCAAGGCTAAGATTGTGGATTTGATTACCATGGAATGCATGAACTTGAAATAATATTCATGTAGTACTGGTGGTATATTCTGACTAATCACTGGAGCAGTATTATTCTGTTTGCCTTTGCAGCAGTATATATTATTATGTATGCTTCTACAGTCATTACACTTTCTAACAAATTCATACATGCAGATTTATTTTTGCCTAATTCTGGAAAAGATGAAGATGGTACCTTGTCTGAGATTGAGAAGCACTTATCTAATCAATCATAATTTCTGTGTAATGGTTTGTTTAACGTGTGTGTTCAGGTGCGGACAGATGTTGAGTGTGCGTGGTGAGAAAGTGTCTGAATCACTGTTTTTGGGGGCTCTTAAGAAGGCAGTGACACAGTGGCCAGGAGCCAGACTAATAGACTACAGCTGCGTTGAGAGTGGCATTTTAGGTAATGTTTGTCTTTTATGAATTCATTTGTATTTTAAAGGAATGTTCCAGGAACATTACAATTTAAACTCTATATAGCAGTTTGTGAATATTTCAGCTGTTATTATATGTGTGAATAGTGTTATAAAATTATGTCTGTGTCTGTCTGTGTAAACATCAGTATAATGTAAGTTGTATTGAATCTAGAACGTGAATTGAACTTTCTTAAGGTTGATGTTTTATGTAATACTGAAATGCATTAAATGTTGCATTTAATTTGTTGTTTGTGTTTACTGTAGGCAGTGCATCTGGAATAGCTCAGCCGCATTATCTTGTGTTTGTTGAGCTAAAGGGTGTGAGGAACCTCTCAGAGGAACAAAGATACAAGGTGATTATCTATAATGTTCATTCAAGAACTTTGAAGAGACCCTTCTCTTTAACTGCTCGTTATATTCCAGATTGCTTTTTAAATCCAACAGTTAGACCACTGCCTACAGGAGGACTCTGATATCTACCGATCCTTCAGGATGAAGGGCAGCATCGGACCAATGAGAGTTCAGCTCGTTCGTGAGGGAACTTTCCAAGAACTGAAAGATCGCATGATGGCCTTCTCTAGTGCTTCGTCTAACAACTTCAAAATGCAGCGTGTGATACGCAACAGAGAGTTTGCAGACTTTCTACTGCAGAGGACTTTTTCATGAGCATTTCAATTAGAGATGAATGAAGTGTCATTTTTGGCAATGTTAAAATATTTTCTGCTATCCTAGTTTTATATGCTGAGATGATAGGTTGGTCTGCTTGATGCTGCCAGAGAGATGGTTCTTGATCCTGGTCCTGGAGGACCCCAATACTGCAAATTTTGGATGTTTCCCTTATTTAGCACACAAGGTTACTGTAGAGTATGCCGTCAACCTCAATTTCCGTTTCCAAAAACCTTTCCAGTAACTTTCAGGCTATGTTCGTGCTAATAGTTTGTTCTGACCAAATGGGACAGTCCATCATCAGATTGTAATGTAATTGAAAGCTTGTGAATTAGAATCCAGTAGAAAAATGATTGAATTTTAATAATCATTGTTATTATTATTACCTCACAAAATCTATTTCACCAAATTTGACTGATATCCAATATTACCAATGATTGATTTTTTCCTTTTGGACATGACTTGAAACCACACAAGATTGTATCAAGTGCATGCCCAAGTTTTTAGGGCTCATTAGCAGTTCAAAATTTATGACTGACATTGTGAAATATTACATTACTTTTTTAAATATATAAATACAAAAGATTTACTTTTAATAGTTCAAGCTGTATTAAAAGTCTTCTAGAGCCATATAACTTTGTGTGAGGAACAAACCAAAATTGAAGTCTATAAATTTGACCAGTTATTCTAGTCCAGTGCCAGTTCTTCTGGTCTCAGCCTGGGCTTGGACTCGAATGAGCTGGTTTCAACTGCAACACATACAAAACCTGAATGAGGGTGGTCTTGATAGTGACCTTCCACCTGTTTTAAACACCTTAGTCTTATTCAAAATCACAGCAGTAAGGGTAAGCCAAAGAAAAAATCGGGTTCCAAAGTAAATCCATCTCCAATCAATGATTAAACATACTGATTGTAAACAAACAAATAATGTGACATCCTATCAAACAAGGTAAATTCTAAGCAGGTAAGCCAGCATACAACTATTAAATAAAACAGAAATTAAGGCACTTAAATAGTGTACATAGAGTAGTTCTTCAAAATAAGGTAAACCACAGACTTGGCAAAGTCTGATGTAAACTGGAGTCTTCTGTTGAACCCAAGATATGCCAGAGTTTTCCGATGAGTAAAGACCTCCTTGTTGAGGCTGTTGGCAATCAGCTGTGTTTTGGTGGACCGCATGGGGAACAGCTCAACCTACGTGCTGAAATAATTCACAATGACAAGAAGGTATTGATTCAACCTTGGTTTTTTTTGGGAACGGGTCCATAAGGTCAGTACCCAACATATGGCCAGGCTCCACCACCAACATAGATTGTAAATATTATTGGAGATCCATGGCTTGTATTTCTGACAGATTTGGCACAACTTACAGTATTTCCAAACATAATTATGTATCTTTGACCAATCTACAACATTCATCAGCTTAAGGTTTTTAATGGATGCATTTGGCATTTCTACCTTTCTGATTTCCTCCCAGCTGATGGGAACTATTATCACCTTGTGCCTGGTATATGGCATTCTGAGCTTGGGCTTCTATACATATTCTACATTAGAGTGAGGAACAACATTGGATTGCCCTTTGCTTTACTATGGAGTCACAGAGAAGGATAGCCCATCTCATCAGATGGGTTGTTGGACTGGGGTACTGATCCAGGTACTGCCGTCACTTCTCTACTGGCCAAACTACAGCAAGACATTCCTTTTTGGGGTATGATGTTTCAGTTCTTTGAAGTAATGGGGGAGCATAAGCAATCGTGTTCTCGTTTGTCTGACATTTGTGTTAACACAAATGGATTTTACTTGCATCCATTTGAACTTTCAAGAGTTTACTTAAGTCTGGTGGAATGAGACCTTTAATTTCTCAAAAACATGCTGCCATTCCTCTCTCCTTCCCCCAAACAAATATCCTTCTTCTTGAGAGCATTTAATAGAATGGCCCATTCCCGAAAAAAGAGACATGAATCAGTGATACCATCCTGATTGACCAAGCAACGATTGAACATCTTATAGTGGGCAGCAAGCAGAGAACATCGCAACCTTTTCACAGAATGTCGTGGAAAAGTCTTGCTACCAGTGTGAGTGTTTTTTTTGTGGACAACATAAAACATGCATAATGACCTGATCACAGGAACTGCTTTGTGAACAGACACAAAAGGGACATCTTAGCATATTTACACAATCTATTCAAAGATCTGTAAAGGCTTAATGAGTGCTGTTTTTGACAATATATATACAATCTTACCTATAGGTAGTGGGGTATACATGAATGTATGAGTGAACGTTTAACGTTTCAGAATAATGTTTGGATTCTATGCATTCAGCACAATGCATCTGGAAGGTGTAAAAAGTCAATAATACATGGTTAAAACATTAAAGACACTGTTCAAACTGAATTTTTGACGCACCAGAGTGGGCCATTTTGTGGCTAGATATTATAACAACAGCCAATCACTTTGGCACCAAGTTGCAATTGACGTTGCAATCAAGTGCAATTCCTTAGTATGATGAAGGAACATGTACCCTCGAGTTCAGAGTTCAAAGTTCTGAAAGAAGGCTTCTGAACGTTTTTTTTTTTTCTGAAAGAAGGGAAGTTTGGGGAAACAGTAACAGCAAACAACTTATCGAATTAAAGCTTCTCCACTTACATCCATTTTTAAAAAAGCCAACACGTTTTCAGTCCCAAGATGTCCGATAGTGAAAATCATGCCCCAAAATATCATGTCATGATGTCAAAATTATGCCTCTTCATGTGCACTATAATTTTACAATGATGCTTTTTTTGATGCCCTAGGCCTAGATGGCAAATTATTCTCATGGAAAGTATTGCAATAAAGACGCCAGAGGGCGCTTTTGGCATCTTGGATATGGTGCAATTTTTGGTGCATTAAACAGTGTGTTAATTAACAAATGCCATGTCAGATGCAGCTTCTGTTCCACCTTGCCAGTATAAAGATGGCTTTTGTTGATGTTGCTAAAACTTTTATTGGTAACATAGTATCTAATTTAGATTGATTGTATTCATTTAAATTTGACAAAGGACAACACATATATACTAAAATGATTATAAAAAGTATAAAGGTAAATATAAAGGCAAAAATGCCCCTGGAAATCAATTCCAGGGGGCAAATATTGCCCCTTAATGGAAGTTAATTGTGACCCTGTCCAAGACAGCTTGTGTGATGAAGTTGAGACAAAGATACTAAGAACACACTAAGGGAAAAAGTGTTTTATTGGAGCCCTCATAATGAAATATAATTACATGCACATAAACAAAGCAAATTTACAATTGGAATAAAAGTTACATGCAAAAAGTGGTAAAAAGAGGAATAATTTTATACAAGATTCAAGGTTAATGTAAATTTTAATGTAAGTTAAAAAGTTAATGTAAGTTTTGATTGATAATCAATAAAAGCATGAACAGCCCTCTACAGAACAATTAAAAGCTTCTGTATTGAGTATTCAGTGTCATAGTTTTTAAAAGTATAAAACAATACAATACATACAGTAAGTGTAATCAGTCTGCTACTGCAATGCTAGTTATATGACCACTCAAAGTAATTTGTGCACATTATTAAAACTTTATTAATTACATACCTACACTATAATCACACTTACAAGTGTCCACATGTATTCATTCATATGTGTGCAGGTCCATGTTGCATATAATGTAGAATGAATTAAATCAAATAGCTCCTTATCATTGATTTAAGTGTTCAGTCCCAAGATGTCCGATAGTGAAAATCATGCCCCAAAATATCATGTCATGATGTCAAAATTATGCCTCTTCATGTGCACTATAATTTTACAATGATGCTTTTTTTGATGCCCTAGGCCTAGATGGCAAATTATTCTCATGGAAAGTATTGCAATAAAGACGCCAGAGGGCGCTTTTGGCATCTTGGATATGGTGCAATTTTTGGTGCATTAAACAGTGTGTTAATTAACAAATGCCATGTCAGATGCAGCTTCTGTTCCACCTTGCCAGTATAAAGATGGCTTTTGTTGATGTTGCTAAAACTTTTATTGGTAACATAGTATCTAATTTAGATTGATTGTATTCATTTAAATTTGACAAAGGACAACACATATATACTAAAATGATTATAAAAAGTATAAAGGTAAATATAAAGGCAAAAATGCCCCTGGAAATCAATTCCAGGGGGCAAATATTGCCCCTTAATGGAAGTTAATTGTGACCCTGTCCAAGACAGCTTGTGTGATGAAGTTGAGACAAAGATACTAAGAACACACTAAGGGAAAAAGTGTTTTATTGGAGCCCTCATAATGAAATATAATTACATGCACATAAACAAAGCAAATTTACAATTGGAATAAAAGTTACATGCAAAAAGTGGTAAAAAGAGGAATAATTTTATACAAGATTCAAGGTTAATGTAAATTTTAATGTAAGTTAAAAAGTTAATGTAAGTTTTGATTGATAATCAATAAAAGCATGAACAGCCCTCTACAGAACAATTAAAAGCTTCTGTATTGAGTATTCAGTGTCATAGTTTTTAAAAGTATAAAACAATACAATACATACAGTAAGTGTAATCAGTCTGCTACTGCAATGCTAGTTATATGACCACTCAAAGTAATTTGTGCACATTATTAAAACTTTATTAATTACATACCTACACTATAATCACACTTACAAGTGTCCACATGTATTCATTCATATGTGTGCAGGTCCATGTTGCATATAATGTAGAATGAATTAAATCAAATAGCTCCTTATCATTGATTTAAGTGGTCACACATTGTGCAAATGAAAATAAACCCTGAGTCTCATTAATCCAAGTATTAAATTCAGTTACTTAGTGCAATAGAGTAACACTGGAATTCTGACAGCAGCTTTTTTAAAGTTTTACATAATTTCAACAACATGCAACAACATTCCCATATTCGGCAAAGACAGTAACTGTTATTAATAAGCATTGCTAATTTGTCATGCAGCATTCTGTCAACTGTGCATATATGTATTAAAGTGGCTGTTATTTTATCTGTTCTGATAGTAACTCAGAATAATCCTTTTGTGGATACATTCTGGGCTTTTAATTTTATGGTAACATTTCTTTCAGTACTACATGGCCATCAAATAATACATTATGATGAGGTCATCTGATTGAATACATTTTTTTAAATAAATATTTAAAATGAGGGCAGTCTATCATGAGCATAGATTATAGAGGTATGTCGGAATAGTCTACTGCAAAAACTGTTAACTGTAGGACATTTTGAATATTATACAATATATTTTTGAATATAATCTAACTAAAAGTTTTATTCCATAAGTGCATTTGCTTGCTTTTCTTTGATATGTCCCATTTGAGTAAACAGTCAAGCTCTGATAGGTAAAGTGAAATGGTAAGGTATTGTACGTACATGCTGTGTCCTAAATATCTGCAGCAATTTAAAATATTCATTCAACATTTCAGAGTACATTTTCTGTAGGAAAAAGAATAATCCACTATGCAGGTCAGGAGCATATAGACACACACAGAAAACTAAATCATAGTTCAATGAAAATGATTTTTGAAATAGAATTCTGCTAATTCTATAACTGATGTACACAGTAGACAACTAACATGTTTACTATACTCATGAACACAATACAGTCATCACATTTTTTAGTGAAGATGCTTTCCATTTGATGACATAATTCACATGTAACTTTGCATAGTTTTGCAGTTTTTGAGAATGGAATGGAATGCCAGGAACCACGTTTCTGAAAAGATAAAGTGGTTTAAAAATTAGTTTGCATGTTTGCCTTCTGAAATCTGATCATCTAATGGATAATGAGCTGATATTTTTATGTACAGTATATAGCATAGTAACGTAAGATGCTGGTTGATATAACTGAAATTAGAACTTTTCTTTTTTTAATGTATCGTCATAATCATAAAAACATTGGTTTGTAGTGCAAATAGTTTTACCATTTAATGCACTTTGTTATTCTTCTAGATTTTTACCTATGGCTAATGAACTGGAAGTCTTTTGCCAAGAAAATAGCTTACTTCCGTGTTGCAAAATAAGGTGGATAAAAACAGTTTTTAGTGTCCTGCAGTGAGGACTGAGCAGTATCTGTTAATATTATTAATGGACTTCAGCTAACATGGACAAATAAAAAATTTAACTGACGTTAACAAAGATTAATACATCATGTAACAAATGTATTGTTAATGCAATAACTGACGTCAAATTATGGAACTTTACTGTAAAGTGTTACCAAAAAGGTTGTTGAATTGGACACACATTTGAGCTTCTGTTTATTATATTTGCTCTACAGTTCTGGAAAAAAAATTAAGAGACCAATGAAAAATGATCAGTTTCTCTGGTTTTACTATTTATAGGTGTATATATGTGTTTGTGTAAAAGGAACATTTTTGTTTTATTCTATAAAATACTGACAACATTTCTCCCAAATTCCAAAAAAAAAACAAAAAAAAAAACAGTCATTTAGAGCATTTATTTGCAGAAAATGACAGCTGGTCAAAATAACAAAAAAGATGCAGTGTTTTTAGACCTCAAATAACAAAGAAAACAAGTTCATATTCATTTGTAAACAACACAATACTGATGTTTTTTAACTTAAGAAGTTCAGAAATTAATATTTGGTGGAATAACCCTGATTTTCAGTCACAGCTTTCATGCGTTTCCTGTTGAGTGACTTTATGCCACTCCTGGCACAAAAATTCAAGCAGCTCGTCTTTGTTTGATGGCTTGTTACCATCCATCTTCCTCTTGATCACAATGTGGTTTAGGTCTGGAGATTGGGCTGGCCATTACAGGGTCTTGATCTGGTGGACCTCCATCCACACCTGGATTGACCTGGCTTTGTGGAATGGAGCATTGTCCTGCTGGAAAAACCAACATTGTCAGAGCAGAAGAACAACCTTGTACTGTACGTGGCTTGATTCACAGTGGGTGGATTGTAGGCCTCTCCAGGTCTCCTTCTAACCATTAAACAACCAGGTGTTGGGCAAAGCTTAAAACTGGACTCATCCGAGATGGTCCAATCCTTATGGTCTTTTTTTGCAAACCTCAGCCTGGCTCTTCTTTGCTTCTCATTGATGAAGGGCGTTTTTCTAGCATTGCTCTGCCCCCAGGAGCCTGTTTCAAACTGTTCTCTCCGTGCACTTCACCCTAGCTGCCGTTTGCCATTCTTTTTGTACGTTACTTGATGTCATCCTACGGTTGTTGAGTGACATTCAGATGAGTTGGTGGTCATTTCAGTCAGTGGAGAGTCGCTTTCGCTCTCTGCTGGTCTGTAGCTTTGTTGTCCCCAATATCTGCAGCTTGAACCGCTGTCTGAAATTTTAAGGATGGAAGCAACCTCACTGTGTCCCTCTGCCAGTATAGCCAGAATTGAATCCTTCTTCACTCAAAACTTATCTTTTTAATTATTTTGTTATGGTCAATAGTTATTTGATTCCAATTATTTTTGAGGTACTACTAGCACTGTTTTGCCATCCAGCTGATCCCTATTGCAAGAGGATAGTGATGACCACAGCAGTGGTTTTTATACTTTTCCTCGTTAAATGAGATTTGGTTGAGGCGATCACCTAATCAGTACTTCATTAAGCAGAATGAAGTGTGTCTGTGTGTCATGTGGAGATGCTGATTTAAGAAAAAATTAGAGTGGTCTCTTAATTTTTTCCAGAGCTATATATATATGCATAAAAGACAGAATTAAATCTGTTCATCATATCGCATCTCTTCGGAAGATTTGGATTAAACCACTCCATTCATATGGACTGGTCATAAGTTCAGTGTCTTTCTGAACTTTTTTGAAGCTTGAAAATTGTGATCGCTTGAACTTTAAATGGATTGACAAAAATGATGAGAGACTTACAAATATCTTCAATTGTGTTATGCAGATGAACAAAAGTCTTATGGGTTTGGAAAAACAAGAGGGTGAGTAAATGACACAATTTTCATTTTTGAGTGAATTATCCCTTTAACAATAAAAACAAGGAAAGCTGGCTGTGTGTACAGCAATTATGGTGTATTTACCAGAAAAATGAATATAGATAAAGTGATAATAGCTTCACTGATTATAATGAGAATGATTTAGTTTTGTGTGTGTGTATGTGTATGTGTGAGAGATATTCTAGTTTTTAAAAAACTTACTTGGTAAGCACATCCAGGCCCCGGCCTCTAACATTTTGTGATTTCTTGGTTAAGACTAGCAGGTTTTAGAAGTTGGTTTGGTGCCAGTTCTTCCACACCATTACTGCCCTTTTCTGTGGTGGAACAGGAAAAGTTTCCGATCAGGCACTGGATCTGTGACCGAGAGAGACACCCTGTTGGTGGAAAAGGGATTCGGTGATGGTCCAGATGATTAACTGCTGAGCAGCTTTTTCTCTTTATACTCATGAACTTTTGAAATTCATAATGAAAGGAAAATGGTGTTAAAATTCAAACAGAAATTTGGTTGCAGGGTTGATTATAGTCATTCCTCATTGTCAGTCCATCAGATCCAGGCACCATGTGGTCTCTGAGCTCTCAGATTGGCTACAAATTCCTACACAGGACCCGCTAGAACTTCTCTCTCATGTCTCACTATCTTGGCCCAGCCTTTGATTACCCAGTAGGCTCTCCCGACTGGTGTGCTCTACTTCAGATGATTCCTCAAGAGATGAGTGAACTACAATCGATTCCTTTGGAGAGGGTGGAGAATTATCTTGTAGGAAAGTGGAAGGTACCACATTCTGATTGAGGGCCACCTCTGGAGTCCTGTGCTCTTCATCCTCGGTTGGACTGGGGTAGGGAAATGCTGGTTCTGTGGAAAGGTGTAGGTGTGAATACGAGCTTGGCGTGACCTTGCAAGAAAAAGATGAACTGCCCAATGTTTGAGGAATTAATGTATGCAAAACAGGGTGTGACTGGCTGATACTGGCATGGGCTCTATCTCCGGCACAAATGCCCAGTGATAAGCCCTCTGCTCGGGGGCTTTCTCCAGGTGTTGGCCCCTGGGTTCCTGGGCTGATGCTAAGGAGAGAGGAGCCAGTAGATAAGTGATGGTGGCTGATATTGGAGGGAATTGAGGTGTACAAAGAACTCCAGTCATGGGAACAGGGCTCATTTGCTGTGACAGGAGAGGGTTGTTTAGGCTCATGCTGGTGAAAGTGTCCCTGTTTCTCAGTGTGCTGAGAGAAACCAGATCCACCTGCACATACCAGAGAAACATTTTAATAAATTAATGATGAAGACTTTGTAACATCTCTGCCAACTTGTATACAAAAATACAGATGGTTGCATCAATGAAAAAAAAAAAAAGCTACAGGTAGTTTGTGGCCATACTACCAGGTCGGCTGTGACTCCAAGATGTGGATGCCAGGAGACCCTCAGGGACAACATGGTCTTTGTGCTGCATGTGGATGCTGGAACCCAAGATATACGCTGGAGACATACTGATAGAAGAACTGGACATCATGTGGACTCCATAGGGACAGGAGGACAAAGGTGCTGTGTAATGGCGAACTGCTATCTGTGCTTGCAGTAGGTGCATTATGTGATGCAGATCCTTTGTTAGAATTGACACTTCCTGTTTCAGGTTGCCCATCTGGAATGAGTTGCATTAAAATATTGTATTAGAGTATATATAAACATGAGAATCATAAAACACAAATAAACCATCAGTTGCAAACTTAATTTTTGTCCTTTATTTTTCACTTGAGTACACCTCGTCATAATTATGATTTCTGAGTTTATACTGTAAATAGGAACATTTTAGAAGGATTTAATGTCTCTGTCTTTAGGAATGAGATTGTCACTGCACCTTCTTGTTGAGTTGGTCAATGGTCTCTTTCACTTCCTTTGTATCCTGAAGCAGTGACGCATTCACCTGACCAGACCCTGCATTAAAACAAAGATGCAATGACCCAACTGACCAATATGGTATGTTACTTAGATACTAAGAATAAAATATCCTTACCGTCCAGTGTCTTATTACCCAGTGATGTCACTGTACTAGTTTTGGCCGTGGTGTCCTCCACATTAAAACGAAACACATGTCCGTTGTCCTCAATTCCATCTACAACTCTATGAAAAGCCACAAGTCAGAGACTGTTATTCACAAATATTTTTATAATGTATAAAAATAGTAAAATATAAAGTATTTATAATACTTTTTAAAGTACTCAATAACATGCAAATATCGATTCATACTGTCTCATCCTGTATTTATACAGGGGTAGGCAACTCCGCTCTTCACAATAAGAAAGCCTAAGGCTAACACACCAAGCTAACAGTCAACTGTCAGTCAGTGACAAGCCATCACTGAACATCTGTCAGCTCAGTTTTTGCTATGTGTTCACCACTGTCTGTACTAGTTGGATCCTGTTTGGCAAAGTTTTGGACGATTGAGCATTTTGAGTCGCCTTTGGGAAGTCACTGAGACAGATCTCTCTGATTTTCAGCTTAGGGAACCAGAGCACGGGAAGAAAAACAAAAGTGATGAAAGCGAGCAAACGACAAAGTCAACAGGGCAGACATTGAAGGCTGTTCTAATTTTACCTGAGCATTCCAATGTGCAAATATTTTCAAATGACATGGCCGTATGGAATGAAGAAAGTGAAGACCAACAATAAGCATACTTAGAATGGTAAACAAGTGCTGCTTTGTTTACGGTTTGTATATCCGCAGTCCTAGTTTTGGTGACCTTTTTGGAATGACAAATATGAATACTGCTTACTGCCACCACCAGTGAAGAATGTACGTTCTGTGCAGTGTGTTCAAGTGCACCTTTTTGGCCCAGATGCAGTTGACGTGAAGTTGACAGCACAATTGGCTTTCATCGCCGCTAGTTCTTTGATGACAGTTTGGTGTCACGGCTTTAAAGAGTTAGTTCACCCAAAAAATATGAATACTGCTTACTGCCACCACCAGTGAAGAATGTACGTTCTGTGCATGTTCCGTCATGTGGATACTTTTTCTACGTTGTTTACACTTTGATTTGAACGAAAACAAAGTATCCACATGACGCAGCTGACACAGAATAGCATTCGCTGTTTGCGTTCAGTGGATATTCTCCAAAATGGCACCAGGGTGACGCTACGTTTCTAGACGTTGATCGAGGAAGTACCCTTGCTGTCTATGGGAGGGTCAGAGAGCTGTCAGATTCCATCAAAAATATCTTAATTTGTGTTCCGAAGATGAACGATGTCGTTCTAAACCCGTAAGACCTCCGTTCATCTTTGGAACACAAATTAAGATATTTTTGATGATTTCTGAGCGCTCTCTGACCATAGACAGCAATGTAATTACCTCGATCAAGGTCCAGAACCGTAGCAAGGAGATCGGTAAAATAATTCATGTGACATCAGGGGTTCAACCGTAATTTTACGAAGCTACGAGAATACTTTTTGTACACAAAGAAAACAAAAAGAATGACTTTATTTAACAATTCGTCTCCGCATTACCCTGGTGCCATTTTGGAGAATATCCACTGAACGCAAACATGTCGAATAAAGTCGTTATTTTTGTTTTCTTTGCGTACAAAAAGTATTCTCGTAGCTTCGTAAAATTACGGTTGAACCCCTGATGTCACATGGATTATTTTACAGACCTCCTTGCTACGTTTCTGGACCTTGATCGTGGTAATTACATTGCTGTCTATGGGAGGGTCAGAGAGCTCTCAGAAATCATCAAAAATATCTTAATTTGTGTTCCGAAGATGAACGGAGGTCTTACGGGTTTAGAACATCATGAGGGTGAGTAATTAATGACAGAATTTTCATTTTTGGGTGAACTATCCCTTTAAGTCCTCCTTTCACAGCAAGTAGCAAATCACGTTTTGTTGATCTATGGCATAAATGTCAAAATGTTGCATCCTTTTAAGTAGAAAATACTGTCTAAGAATGTTACCTTGGACTAAGATCTGGTGGTCCAAAGCAGTTGAGAGTGGGGATGAGCAGTTTGGCAGGTTTGCGTCCTGTACCTCCAGAATCTGTCTGTGTCCTATGGGTGGATTTGGGTGTAGATGAGGGAGGATGGGTTTGTTTCTGTACTTTGGTCTGATGTTTGGGGGAAGGGTTTGGACTCCAGCCCCTGACAGGTGAACGACACCGTCGCAGGGTGTTGAACTGCAGTAACTCTTCCCCTAAAAGATTCCCCAGTGATGTACGTCGTACTGGGCTGCTTAGATTGGGCAGAAGAAGATTTCGGCATGTATTGGAAGCAGGTGGGACATGGAAGTACTTGTCTGGATCATCAGCCTTTTCTACAAAGGATGGACACTTATTCTCAGTTGTTGCACTGGAGTCTGGGTAGTTCTGTTGCAAGGAGAAAGAAATGACACCAGGGGATAGGTCAGAGACTGTACAGTACAGCTGAGACAGACCACTCTTTAATTACAGTGAATGAGAAAAATTGGAACGCCCAAGATGGCAGCTGTAGTAAAGTAAATCCCATAATTCAAATGAAAGAGTGAGGTCAGTAATGTTTGTATTTCTGTTTAAGTTCTCTGGTTACCATTTCTTTAAAGAGTGGAACTTGTGGTTAGCCTACAGATCGCTGCATAAATTAAGTCCATCTGTCTTTTTCCAAAAGAGACTTTTTTTGTTTTTGTTTTTCGGAGCTTGAGCCAAGTCTTGGGCCCAAGCCAGTCATACAAGCACAGTGGATTAGCTAATTTTGATGTGACAGCTGTGATAGTGATAATGAATGGTTTGGTTTACTATGTAAGTAAATATGTGTGTTGAGAGATTGTAGTCTTACCTCAGTCTCACTGCCCTCTCTCAGATTGTATGTGAGGTTTTGGTGGATGTCAGTAGTAAAGATGCTGGCATACTCGGTATATAGTTCAAGAACATCACTTAAACCTTTCATACTGATGTACTGCAGGTCACAATATGTCAGTGCCTTTACATCTGCATTCGTCTTGATCACATGATTCTGGCCAGGCAGGTCTGAGCCAATCAGATCTCCTTTTCCTGTAATGACATCAACACTGAATAAAATCAAATACTCTATTACAATTCATTTTCATATCAATCTTCTGTTTACCACTGTATAATACGGTAGTTGTACTGTAGACCACATAGACCAGTAATCCCACTACAACTGTACAGTTCAAACGACAGACATTTTTAGAAAAAAATAATTAATATAAACTTAATGTTTGTACTTTTAATGTGTCTGGCACAATTGCTCCTAAGTTTGTTATTGTAAACATGATTTTAGTTTGTTTTCATGAACTGGAGAAGAGTCGAAAGTAGTTGCTGTGGTAATGGACAGCTGTACACCTGAAACATTCCATCAACATGTACTGTAGCGTTCAGAAGGATAATCAATATACATAATGTCCAAATAACAAGTCAAAAGGTAGAAAAGCAATAAAGACATGTTACAAACCCAGAATAGCCAAGACCATGTTGTCCTTTAGAACCTCCAGTGACCCAGAACAGACAAAGTAGTTGGCCTGCAACGCGTCCCCCTGTCTGATGAGATATTCCCCCGGTGTACAGAAAGTGGTTTTGATATGGAGGGAGAGCGAGCGCAGGCAGCCCCTACTAGCACCATCAAACACAGGCAGCTGCAGGATGTCTTTGTTTAAGTGCATGGCAATATCAGCACGCAACTCATCAGGAAAATCATGCAAGAGCTGCAGAAAAAACAACAACATAAAATCTTCTTTACCATTGTTTGAAATGAACAATAAATAATAGAAATAATTTTTTTTCCCCTTAAAACTTTTTTTTTTGGTTTTTAAGACTTTTTAAAAAAAGATTTAAAAGGTTTGAAGGTTCAGACAATTATACAAAAAAACAGGTAACACTTTATTTTTGGGGACCAATTCGCACTATTAACTAGTTGCTTATTAGCATGCAAATGACCAAAAAAGGGTTGTTAGGATGTTCTGGGTCTTTGGTAGAGCATTACTATGCAATTGCTAGGGTGTTCTTTATGGTTGCAATGACATAATTAGGCTGTTGCTATGCTATGTGATTGCTAGGGTGATGCAAAGGCATTATTGTTGACAGGCATGCTGGGTCACTCTTCTGTATTTCCTAACCTTCTTTGTAGCTCACTTCTTAATTGTCGGTCTTTGATGCAGCTGGAATTGAGCTGCGCTTCTTAAAGACAGACTGGATTTTATGATGTTTGATCCCCTCCCCCCTCCATCCTCCCGCTTATCCTCCTCCATCCATCCTCCTCCAGTTACGTTTTGTAAGGTTGTTGTTAAATGAATGCTCTTACACACTCTGTGTCACTTATCAAATCAAGTGTCCTTAGCCAAACTCTGCCAAGTAAAGACAGGACCCTGAGCTCTTTTAGGAGCCATACAACACAACAGATTTGGTGTGCACAGCATACAAGCAGTTGTACAGTCTTTTAGCAGCTAGGTGTTCCTTGATCATCATCTTGGCCTGTCCATCAAAGATACTGTATCTGCGATGCTGTGTAAATAGCGTTAGTGGGTTGCTCAGTGTCACTATGGAAGACTTTTCTGAGTGTTTCGGCACAATTCAACCACAGTCATGTTGAGCTAGCTTTCTACCAAAATCCCTTCACCTGGGGTTCAAACTCTGCAGAGGAGGCCAAACCTGGTGAAAAAAACACTTGGTGCGAGACAAACAGGCTCCTTTTAACAAAGGGCTCTTCCTCTTCACAAGTGAGTGCCACTCAGCCTTATCTCATGAACGAGCCTCTGTGCCCGTTATCCTGTCACGCGAATGTGTTGCAGTTTCTCTCAGTTCTGGCTAGGTGGTGAAACCCATTCTGGACCTACGTAAGACAATTGAATCGGCACTTTCCATGGTGCCCATTCAAAATGGTTTCTCATAAACGAATCCTATCACACACCCATACTGAGAGCTGGTTTATGTCTGAGAATCTAATGGATGCGTACTCTCATATGCTGATTGTTCAGCATTACATACAAATCTAGGGATGCGTTCGAAGGGAAGGGAATTGCCCCACAGAAATTGAGCAGCATTTGCACTCTGAACAAACTCTATGATTAGATCAGAGGTTTTGTGCAAGACACAATATGACATCCAGAGCTGTGCAGCCTACGTTTCAGTTTCTACGTACTCAGCAGAGTTTACCAGGATCATCTTTTACTGTTTACTGGGTTATCTCAGTTGGTAAGGTGGTAGTTACTATAAGCACTAGGCTCTATGCTCTGAGTTAGAGTGTGTTTACATTTCAACAGTGATGGATGCTGGTTTCACCCCATCAGTGCCCAAACTTTGTGTAGCTGCCATATAAGAACACCATGCTGTTATAGTTGGCTATTCTGTGTGGAGGCACGATCTGATAATAAGAAATCTGGCATCAAAACTCTTTTGTCCTGCTACAGTCCTGGGATTTTCCTGCAACATGTGCCTAACAGTGCTAAGCTTCACCAAACATGGGGATCTGTCATGATTGCAGAACATATTTGAATCTGTGACTGATGGAGGGCCTAGACCTTCATCCACATCACACGGCTTTAGAATTTGGGGACAAAAGCACCACTTAATCAATTAGAACATCTTAAGATGAATTAGCTGAACTCCTTTCACCCCTTTTTATTTGAGGAACCTCTGAGATTTTACTTAATATTTTAACAAATTTAACCACACATTTGCAAGCTCATACAAAATTAGAGAACAATTTATGAACACTTCAGAAATAATATAATCTTCATCGTTCAAAATTTGAAGGAATTTTAGTTGTGGCTATACCATTCTAGTAGAACAGTGTTTTACAAAATAACCAAGGCACTTCGACAAAAACCCTTTATTTTGTGGAAAACACAGTGATCAAAATTAGAGAACAGCAATGACTGTAGCACGAAGAAAGATTAAAACTACAATTTCTAAAGGTTACAGTAAAAATTAGTAGGAAGTGTACAGGCCCTTGCTTTGAATGACTTCAGCACATTTGCGGCCACAGGACATAGTCTCTCACTCTGCTCTGGTGTGATCTTGGTCTACTCTTTTTCCAGTCTCTTCCAGAGTTCGGTGACTGTAGTGGGTTTCTTATCCATAACTTTGTCACCAAGGATTTTCCAGAGATTTTCAGTTTAGATCAGGACTCTGGGCTGCCCATTTCATTATTTTAGTGTTTCATTATTTCATTATTTTAAAAGGAACTGCTTTACTTGTTTTGCTGTGTGACAGGGGGCATTGTTCTGCATGAACGCAGTGAAGGAACTGCATGTTGCCATAGGAGGTTCTGATAAACATTTGCATTTACTCTGCCATGTAGCTGTATAAGAGGCCCAACTCCTGCTGCAGAAAACATCCCCCAAACCATGACACTTCCTCCTCCACTGTTCACTGACTTCTTTTCGCACTTTGGGTTCAGTCTTTCCCCAGTTTGATAACAAACATAATGTTTCCCATCAAACCAAAATAAATTAAACTTGCTTTCATCACTGAAGTGAACTTTGGACCAGTTCTCCTCTCTCCTCACTCCTCAGCAAAGGTTAGTCTAGCCTTTTGATTCTTTCTGCTGATGAGAGGGAGTGGGCTTTCCATCCAAATTCTCTTAAATGTCGAGACATTGAATGCCGCTGAAGTGCTGAACCGTTAATTAAGGAAATTAGCACGAGGTGCCAGATTAACATCAATAACTGGGAGGTATCTGAAAGTGTTTTCTAATTTTGATCAGTGTTCTTTTTCAAATATCTAATTTAAGCGTTTTGTACTGTGCTTCAGAATATATTTAAAGGTGGGGTAAGTGATTTCTGGTAGCCAATGTTGACATTTGAAATCACCAAAACAAACACGCCCCTACCCCAAAAGGGTCTCACCCCTATTTTGCTAGCTCCGCCCCACACATAGGCTACATACGCAACCCAGGCAACGATTAGTTCTGTGAAACAAAACAAAACCAATGTTACACCGTGTCTACACCGTACGCGAGTGGTGCGGCGCGACAAAATACTATAGAACTCATTATAATCAGTGATGCCCTCTACACCATAGATATATATAAATATCTATGGTCTACACTGGAAATCACCGACAGAAAACTGCTGCTGTGTTCTATTCATGACGTATTGACACAAATTTCAAATGATTTTCAACGGTCGCTTTGTCGCGTCCAGTGTACTAGACAGACTTTAGCTGTTGCGGAGCAGACACGGTGTTACTCACCTATCGAGAAGAAACAAAGCAACCTCGTCGTCCGATCGCAGGCCTTCTTCTCCTTGAGTTCTCTCCAGCGCTGGAAAGCTGATCCAATATTTACACGGGTCCTACTTCTTGCCTTATTGTCTTAAGCCTTCTTTTGTTCCGCAGACGTTTTCCTCTTTTGTTTTTTATCCGCCATCTCTATCTTTCTGTCGCTCGGCTCGGCTAATGTCCATCCTGTGCACTGAAAGCTCTCTCCTCCACATCACGAGTAGACATGCCCCTTACTGCTGATTGGCTATAAGTTTGTTTTGCTAGTCGGCCCGAATCAGTTTTCTAAAGCGTTTTTGAAAAATCGCTTACCCCACCTTTAATTCATGAAATATGCTTAAAACTGTGCTTTTACGCCTGTTAGGACTAAGCAGTGACTTTGAAATGTAGGAAATTGTTGGTTGTTCTCAAATTTTGAGCTCCACTGTAGTTCTCTGGTGTTGGTTAATGGTCAGACAGGACATGCAGGTAAACAAATAAAATATTTCATCTTTTTTAGTACATTTTATTTTTGATTGGTTTTATTTTTAAATTATTTATTTTAATTTTACATTTTTAAGATTTAATCAATTATTTGTTTTTCATCATCTCTCAACCCCCTGCAGTGCTATTACAACTGTCAGTTTGGGAAACCCTGATGCAATGCAATGTTTAATACACTTCATGTTATTGACAACAAAGAATGGAATATATTTTCTTTCTTTTTGTATTTTTATCAATATTGTACTAAACAGTGATAAATGAGTTAGGCCAAAAGTAACCTAAAAGTAATCAAAAAGTTGTTAGATTATATAACCTAAAATGCATAATCTAATACATTACATTAAATTTTTTTGTGAAGTAATTTGTAACCAGTAATGAACTACAATATGTAAGTAATCTACTCAACACTGGCTATGATTAAAAATCTGCGTAAACACACCTTCTTGTGGTAAAAAATAATGCATGTGACTTCTATGTTACTTTTGCAGTGTAAAGAGAAACAGACCATGCATACACTTTTAAATGAAAAAGTAGCATAATGTTTTGTTTGGAGTTATGCAATAATGTAACATGTTATATTTAAGTAATATTCCCCAACACCTTGGATGGTGCGTTGATATACCACATGCGGTAAAAAAAAGATATTTCTGCACAGACTAAAACAATTTTACATAAAATGTAAATAAATAAGAAAAAAGAAGCACTTGATAATGCCAAGCACTTTCTCACCTCATTGACATCAATGCCATTATTCACAGACCAGGTGGTCTGGAAATATTCCAGCATGCGTTGTTTTAGCTGCTGTGGCAGCCGGTGAACACGAATGAAGTCCTTCAGATCTTTCATGCGCGTGTGATATAGTGAGCGACGTGAGTACATGCGCTGGATGATGGCTGTTACATTCCCAAACACCACAGCATGCATGAGAGCTGTGTAAGAGAAACAACCAATCTGATTCACAATCTAACAAACTAGAAATAAGGGTATTAAACAGGCAGGCTAATGTTAAAAATGTAATGTTAAACACGTAAACATGTACAGTACAATGAAAAAAGTCCATGAACTTGTTTGTGGCCGTTATTATAAAGTCTGACTCATTGGTGAGTGGTTTGTTCACATGGTGAGAATTATTGCTTTGTTTAACTGTTTTCAGGTTGTGGGGAAAATCTAATCTACATTTTCTGAGACATTAGCAGAGATGTTTGTGTTGCCCATCATAGAAGATGATGTTAACTATGTTAATTATTTATAGAAAAGTTGTTCATTTCGGGATTTTTTTAAATTCTTCTTTCTGTCCAGATTTCAAATCTACATTGTGTCGGTGTCACAGAATGTGACATTTTGAAGCACTGTAGTGCTTTGATGACATGTCTGTGTCACATAACTATTCATGAGTCTCCTTATCCTACAAGAAGACACTGTTTTGAAATTTTGTCATTTCATCTGAATATCAAGATATGTGAGATTTAGTCAATGGAAACAAAAAATAAAGAAAATAAAACCATTTGTAGGGTTTGATTTTTGAAATTTGTGTTTGAGGTTTGGCAGCTGTGTTAAGAATTTTGGGACAATGGGCCAAAGATTCAGTAAACATGCAAATAATTGGGGAAAACTGTAAAATGGTGTTTAATGAATGTTTGACATTTTTCATGTTGTGTGTGTGTTTTCATGTTTTGTCTATAGAGTTTTGAAAAAAGGAGCTATATATTTTTTTTTAAATTGTGCGTAAGCAATTATCAAAAACTTTTAAAATGCAGCAGCACATCGTGACAAATCAAATTGTCTAGAATACTGTGGAAGTTACTGCTTACCCCCAATGAGCATAGTACAAACAGAGAAAATCTTCTCAGCATCAGTGTTGGCACAAACGTTGCCGAAGCCCACACTGGTCAGACTGCTCAAGGTGAAATACAGAGAGGCGATGTAGGCACTGCGAACCGAAGGACCACCAACTGTACTGTTGAAATAGGGCTTGTCCAAACGCCTGCCCAGCTCATGTAGCCAGCCTGACAGAAAGAAAGAACCATCTTATATTGTCAAATACAGTAAATACAGTCTGCTTTTAATACAAATAGTTACTTTTTAAGGGTGTTCAATCTTCAAAAAAACTAATTTA